CATGGAATAACTTTTTTCTATATCTTCATTTTAGTCTGTATATGTCTTTAGGTCTAAAGTGAGTCTTTTGTAGGTAGCATATAGATGGGTCTTTGGGTCTTACTCTTTTTATCCACTCTGTGTCTTTTGATTGGACCATTCAGTCCATTTACATTTAAAGTAAGTATTGATGTGTTCTTTGTCATTTTGTTAACTTTTTTGTTTTGTTCCTTTCTTTTGCTCTCCTCCCTTGTGGTTTGATGGCTTTCTTGAGTGTTTTATGCTTAGATTCCTTTCTCTTTACCTATTAGAGGGTTTTGGTTACCACTGGGTTCATATATAACATCCTATGTGTATACAGCAGTCTACATTGAGTTTGATGGTCACTTAAGCTCAAACACCTTTTAAAAGCATGAAATCTTTACTCCTTCCACATTTTATGTATATGATGTCTTATTCTATATCTTGTGTACCCCTTGACTAATTTTTGAATATATAATTAATTTTACTACTTTTGTGTTTTAATCTCCTTACTAGCTTTGTGATTGATCTACTACCTTTACTATGTTTACTTTTACCAGCAAAAGTTCTTCCTTTCATAATTTTCTTCTAGTTATGGCCTTTTTTCCACTTAAAGAACTCTCTTTAACATTTCTTGTAAGGCTGAATATAGTGTTCTTGGTTGTCAGTTTTATCCTTTCAGCACCTTGCATATAGCATGCCACTCCTCTGGACTGTAAAGTTTCTGCTGAAAAATCAGATGATACCCTTATGGGGTTTCCCTTGTATGTAACTGTTTACTTATCTCTTATTTGTAAGATTCCTTCTTCATCTTTAATTTTTGCCATTTTAATTATTATGACTCTTGGTGTGGACATCCTTGGGCTCATCTTGTCTGGGGCTGTGTTTCCTGGACCTGAATGTCTGTTTTCCCCTGATTAGGAAAGTTTTCAGATGTTATTTCTTCAAGTAAGTTCTGTTGCCTTCTCTCTCTCTTCTCCTTCTGGGTTCTTATAATGTGAATGCTATTATTCTGATAATGTTGCAGAGGTCTCTTAACCTGTCATTATTTATTCTTTTTGCTGTTCAGCCTGGTTGCTTCCCATTACCCTGTCTTCCAGATCCCTGATCCATTCTTCGGCATCCTCTAATCTGTTGATTCCCACTAGTGTATTGCTCGTATCAGCTATCATATTCTTCATCTCTGATTGGTTTTTATATTTTCTATCTCTCTGTTGAAGTTCTGAGTTCATCCACTCTTCTTTCGTCTGGTGAGTATCTTTATGACCATGACTTTGAACTTTTTATCAAGCATATTGCTTATCTCTGTTTTATTTAGTTCTTTTTCTGTGATTTTTGTCATCTTTCATTTGGGACATATTCCTTTGTGTCATTTTGTCTAACTCCTTGTTTGTCTACATATTAAGCAGGTCAGCTCTGTCTCCTGATTTTGAAAGTAGTGGCTTTGTGTAGAAGGGGCCCTGTTGTAAACTGTTGCTAGTCACTAGAACCAAGTACTCCAAGGGTGTTCCCTGTGTGGGCTACATGTGCCCTACTGTTGTGGCTGAGCTATGACTACTGCAAGTGGCCAGGCATGCAGGGCTTGCCCCCTGTGAGGCCTGGTTGCAGCTACTGTGGGTGCACTGGTGGGGAGGGTTTGCTTTCTGTGCTGCTGGCTTAGAGGCCTGACTGCAGCCACCGTAGGCTCACTGGTGGGCAGGGTTGGCACTCAGCCCAGCTATCTGTATAGTAATGAGCCACTTTGACTGCTGCATGTGTGCTGGTGGAGAGGGTTTGCGTCCCTCCCCTGCCCCGGGCAGGTCCACGAAGGAATGACATGATGGGGCATGTAGTGCTAGCAAGGCAGATGAAGAGTGCTAGAACTGACTCCTGGAAGCCTCTGGCTATCTAGGCTGGGGAAAGGCAAGAAAAATGGCACCTGCCAGCACTTTTATTTCCAGAGAAAACTCCTGCAGATGCCTGCCCCACTGGCACATGTCCTAAAATTAGTCAATAAATCTCCATGTATAGCCCAGGTACTTTTCAAACTCTTTCGTGCTGTGTCCTGGGCTGTTATTTGGCTTGTTGGCTCTTTAAGGGTGAAGACTCAGTTTCTTACAGCCCTCCAGCTCTCCTGGAGGTAAGCCTTGCTGATTTTGAAAGCCAGAGGTATGGATACTCAGCTTCCCAGTGCAGGCTGTTCGGTGTGGGCTCTGATCCCCTTGCTCCTCTGTGCTTATGATGTCCCTCCTGTTTGTGGGTAGTTGTGCTGGGGTTTGGTTCCATATTGCATTTCTGCTCCTCCTACCCTTTTCCGTGTAGCCTTCTATTGGCTGTGGAAGATCTGTGAGTCTTCAGGTCATCTTCAGAATTAGTTGCATAGATGTCATTGTTGCCCCTATGGGATGAGGTAAGCTCAGGATCTTCCTATTCTGCCATCTTCCTCTGAGCTCTGGAAACGGTCTTGAATTCCCCATGCACACCTGTGTTCCACTTGGGTCTGGAACCACTTGTGTTTTTACACCTACTAGTATGTTGCCACTTCTTTTGTTACTAGACAGACCCACCATCTAATTTGATATGCAGTTCAACTTCTTAACCACTCACCTTTGTCAGAGGAATACTGACATCTCGTATAGGTATTCTGACGCAGTGGGGTTTAACTAGGTGGGGACAGCAGAAGCAATGCAATTGCTTTTTTTTTTTCCTTTCCCCCAAATATTGGGGGTGGAGGGGAGAGGGCACTCAGAGGCTGGTTTGTATTTTTTAAAAGTTCCACAAGTGATTTTGATATAGAAATCTTAATGTTTTAATTTGATAGATTTGCTATTTATCCTATTTTGTTTTTAGACCAAATCAGAATTGCTTTTCTTATAAATATCTTTAATGAATAAACCAATTTTTAATTTAGATATTAGCATTGTGCTTTTTTCCATAGGTATCCTCTTTAAGAAATGAAAAGCGAGGCTCATCATATCTCATCTCTGCCCCAGAAGGTGGTTCTGTGGAATTTGTTGACCAGCATTCTCAGGGCACAGGAGCTTATTACATGGAAACCTACTTTAAAAAGAAGCGCGTATATTGAGTTAAGTTCTCTCCTTATAACCTCATAAGGTTTTTTGCAGTATCTCTGCTGTTCATTGCTGCCTTAACTACATTCAGACTAGCCATATCCTTTAAATACGGGTTTCTAATTTCCCAGAAGGAACTGTATTGTGCAGCAAACAGAATTGCCAAATAAAAAATAAGTAGCAATAAAATAATACAGGACATTTTCCATTACAAGTAGATGCATCTTAATTGGTATTAACTTATAGTCCACTGGAGAAATTAACAATGTTCCACTATTCCTTGTTTGGGACTGGGAATAATTTTGACACCATATCTAAAAGTATGAAGCAATAAATGGGAAACGGTCTTGTTTCCTGAGCCTTAGAAGAATGAGTTTCTTATATGCCACTGTGCATTTCAATCTACTTTCCCTAGAAGTAATCTCATTTATAGATTTTTAGAACTTTTCCTAGAACTACAAGAGTGCAACTACAAAATGCAGTGGTGGTAATGTTATAAAGATGCTCTACATGCAAACTAAGTAATTACCCCCACATCAGCCCCACAACATAAATCCGAGAGTGATAGTAAGGTCCAAGTTCTACACAACTATAGATGCTTAACTTTTAATGTTATTTACCATTTATACCTTTTGTGAAAAACAAGCTATTTTTGGGAAAAAAAAAAAAGTAGCTTTGGTGAAATAATTTCAGGGGTTGGCAGCCTATACCCTGGGGTCAAGTTTAGTCCTCCACTTGTTTTTATACTGTCTGCAAGCTAAGAATGAGGTTTACATTTTTAAATGAAGTAGAACAGATTTAAGTTCTATGAAATTCAGATTTCAGTGTCCATATATAAAATTTTATTGGAACACAAACACGCTCATTCATTTACATACTGTCTAGGGCTACTTGTGTGCTCTAGTGGCTGTGACAGAGACCCATAGGGTCTGCAAAGCCTGAAATACTTAGTCTGGGCCTTTATGGGGGAAAGTGTGCTGACTCCTGGTCTAATGGCACTAATTCCCTAATCTAACTTCTGCAACACACTTCTAAGTGGCAAGCGATGTAGGTTTCTGTGTCTGATTTCATGGCATAAACTAGTGATGATCTAATTGCTAGAACAAGGCCTGTTTGGATCCTCAAATGCCCTATTTCCACAGTATAGTTCAACCGTCAATACTGAAGGAGCACTGTGGAGTAACAGTGTAACAATTTTGAGCTAGTAAGTTATACCTCACTTTCTGCTTTGTCTCTTATTCTTTTGTAGCGTTAGGCTGAAAAATGATCAGCTATTTAACTCAATTTACTTCAGCAAGAATTGTGATTATTGCATATAACTTTTGACATCATTTCCTGAAGACTTTGGTATCAGATGAGAAACCCTTTGCCATCTAGAAATTTCCAAGTTTGTTCCTTGTTATGAGTCTCAATGAGCCTAGTCTTTTTGAAATCAGATTAAATGTCTTGTAATAAGGTACCCTATTCTAATTATCAAGTTTAAAAGTGGTACATACGATTTGTAAAGAAATTGGTCTTATTTATTTCCTATTAACTTCTATTAGAAAATGACAGCTAGAAAGTTAAGGACTGGCATCAGTTATGACTCAGCAGATGAATAATGGTTTCTCCATGTTCTGTGCTTCTCCTTCCCATTTCCTATTGCATTAAGCATCTTCAATGCTTAGTCACACCTCTCTGATAATATAAACAGAAGATGGTGAATTTTAAGTCAGAGCTGCAAAATGAAAGCAGGGAGAGGTTGAAAAGAAGGATGATAGCACATATGGATCTGCCCTCTGTGTATCATTGGATAGAACAGATAAGTACCAATCAAGTGGTGTTTGTAATAAGGACCATTACCAAACTCCGCCCCCCCCCACAAAGTCTATACTGTTATTATACTGTTATTTTTCTATGTAAACAAATTGTTTGAATGCTTTGAAAATGAAATCTTAATATTAAAAGGCATTTGCATGTGAAGTCTCTAGTATATTTATTTGTATAAAGAGTAAACAAAGTGCATATAGAGTGGCCACAGGTTTGACACAGACAGAGACCTTGGTGATGTAGGGTTATTGAATAAATTTAAATGGCAAGTTTATTGTTGCCATTGAATCAATCCAGAACTCTTTAGGCTCAAAAGGTGAAAAGTAAGGATATCAAACAAATGCTAGACAGCATTAACAAAAAGTTTTTCAGACTCTTGGTCATCAAGTTCTTACGGTTCACATTGAATCAGAGATTAGACATTTTTGATTACCCAGCTACCTCCAAGCAAACTGAAAACGGTCTAAAAACTGTCTAGTAGCTCCTGAACTCTTGTATATGGATGGTTAAGTACAAAAACGCTGATTGGTTGCACACAGCATCCAAAACCAATGCTGCAACAGCTTGCCCCAAAGTGGTAGAGTGAGTTAGTTAGAAAAGGATATACATTAACATTTCTGAAAAGCAGGTATGATAGTACCCGGGGTCTTGGAGTCCATTCTGATTAAAGGTATACTTTTTAGGAAAGCACAGGCTTGGTTCTCAAGAATTAACAGGCAACAGAGTATCTATTCCACAGCTGTCCCCCTGGCTCTGACCAGTTTTCTCAAAACTCAGTATTGCTGGTCACCCACGGGGACAGGAGCAAAGCCACTGAAGAGACAACTCAAAGTTTAAGTCCTACTGGTGACAGGAATACACTCATCTTGGTATAGAAACAATAGTCTACTAATGGGTATCTAATATTTCAAGAATGCTTGGTCTATCACTGTAGAGATATTGAAATCTGAGGGCATGTTAGAGTAGTGCCTAAGTCCATCAATCTCTATCTGCCGGGAAAGCATTTCAGATCAACAGGCGGCTGGGAACAAGGGCTTCTGTCAGCTCCTCTCCCTTTCTGGTATGCAACTGGGACAGTACGCTAGCCAAACAGAACGGTGCTTTCCATTCTTTTCAAAAGGAGGAGTGCTTAAGTGCTTTCTATTGTTTCGGTGGTCATTATCTGTTACCGGTGCCAAATTTCAAGAGGGAAGTACGTACACATAATAAGCACCACAGTGTGCCTTACATACCCAAATACAAATTTTTCCATTAAAAATTTTAAATGGCTTGGGTATTGGTTGGGGAAGGAGGACCTGATACACAGGAGTTTAAATGTTATCCATGCTTCTTATTTTAAAAGTGCTTCAAATCCTTCAATAAGGTTCTGAAAAGTTGTCCGATTGGATGGTTGGAATTCCCAGCATTTTCTCATAAGTTGATAAACCTGTAAGAAGGGCGGGGGAATCGAGTTAAAAAAATTCTTGGAAATGGACTTACCACTACTTATAAATGGACTTATTACTCAAAGTATTACTGACGAACAATCTATCTTGAGAAGCTCATGAATCGACCTTCCAGAACATCCAGGTCATTACATCTCAGTGCAGACTTGACTCTAAATTCCCTCACTGGTGGTTCTTTGATTCATACAAACTCTTCAGTACATCTCAAATAGTCTTTAGAGTTGGCCTTAAAGGCTCAAATCACCTTAGAATACAGAAAACTGAATAAATGTCATAAATGCTACTAACATGCAATTACAGCTGAGCTGCAAACAACACAGATTTGAACTGTGCAGGTCCAGTTATATACACAGTTTTTTCATTAAATATGATCTAGTGCTATAAATGTATTTTCTCTTACCATTTTTTTCTCTTGTAATTATTATCAGTAAGGCTCCTGGTCAACAGGAGACTTAAGTTTTGGGTAATCAAAAGCCACATTCAGATTTTCAACTGTGTAGAAGGTCAGCACCCCTAATCCCGTGTCAAGGGTCAACTCTATATGTACTTGTCACAATCAGGCTACACTAGAGTGTGCTGCTTTAGGGTGCTCACTGAGGTGAGCCTACTTTTGGAGGGAATCCTTACTTTAAACCTAACTTGTGGCTGTCATCTGCCCCAAAGAAGGTTTTACAGATGTCTGATCTGAAATTCAGCTTCAGGAAATTATTTTAAAAATGACTTTTCTACTTCTTCCCACCCAAACCCTTGCCAAGTAACTCAAGCCCTGAAAACATAAACTGAGTTTATTACTGTAAAATAGCCCACAAATACCTCATCTGGACAGTGACGTGGACAAGGCAAACGTTTTCCTTCTTTTAATGTATTCACAAGTCTTGTGACTGTCATCTGGCCATGAGTTGGGCCTATCATTTTCAGGAACAACTATGTAAAATCAAACCAAATCAAGTATTTTAGCATATATTTATATCAACAGTAGATTAAGGTAAAATTTCTAGGTCTAACTGTAAATTAAGATAATAAAAAGGCTTTTTTCCTCAGTAACTTTATTTTTCTTAAAGATTTTACTTATTTGACAGAGAGAGGGGGGAGCAGGAGAGGGAGAAGCAGACTCCCCATTGAGCAGGGAGCCCAACGTGGAGCTGGATCCCAGGACCCTGGGATCATGACCTGAGCCAAAGGCAGATACTTAACCGACTCAGCCACCCAGGCGCCCCTCTCCTTAGTAATTTTAAATGAAAGCCCAAAATCTTGATTAGCTCTCAATGATCAGTCTGTGATTACACTCTCTCAGACTTTACCAACCATCCCTTCCCCTGGCTGAAGACACTGTCTCAGTGAAAATGATCTTAAATCATTTATGAATTCCTGAAGCTCAAACAAGGCCCTCCCCACTGCTCCCTCATTCTCCCAGGAAACTGCCCCTGGAATCCTCACACAGGTAAGATCCCTGAAAGTCAGCATCATTTTCTAGAACTTGGGCTCCTTGTGAAATGAGGACTTGAGAGAGCCACAAATTTAAGTGTCAAGTGACATACCATGTTAAATGGAAAAGTGACGCTTCCCACTGTAACACACTAACTGGATTCCCTTTAAGAACAAAATTTACACATTTTCAATGGGTGCTGGATTTGGATGAAGATACAAGGAAGACTTACCGCCATGGGGCTGTAATCTGAGTCACAGTAAGTAAGCAGCTCATGCAGAGTCACTCCAAACGACCAGACATCAGAGGCGATATAAAATTTACACTGAATTAAACATTCAGGAGCATACCTGAAAGAAAGCAGACCATGAAACTTCATTTCCTGGGAAGGATATTCCAACACATTACAGAGTATCTCCAAAAAAATCACTTCTTCAGCTTTTCTCAGTGTTTGATGTATTAATCACACGTCTGCTGATGCACATATCTGACATGAACAATACCGTCACAGGCTCTCCGTAGCATGTATTTGCTTTAAAGTATTAGTTTGTGCTCTTCATTCCACGGGCTGTCCATGTGGAGGAGGCATAGGATGACACACCCCAAGTGTTCTTTGCAAGTTCAAAATCAGTCAGCAGTGACCTCACTGTGCAGCCTTCTTCCAAGGTCAACTGTTTCGTTGGATGACACCCAACTCCCCAAGCCAGAAACGGAGGCACCCCTATATCCAGGTTCCTATACTTCTCAAACCTACTCACTTCTCTTAAGGCCCACCGTCACTGTCCTAACCACTGTCCTAGTTCACACCCTCACTGGCTCTGGTTGAATCACACTCCCTTAGCTCCAATCTTGCTCCCCTCCCATCCACAGTGATCTTTTTAAAGCAAAAGCCACCGTTCTTAAACCCTCCAGTGGTATGTCCCAAAGCTCGAAGGTAGAGTGCCAGCTCTGTGACTCGGCCTCTGGTGCTCCGCCTTAGCAAGTCCTTGAGACCTCCCACTTTGTCGTGATCCAGTCCCACACCGAGCTGATTCAGATTCAGGTCCTAGGATATTCACTGCTCTCATCTCATTCTTGCTAGTCACACATGCCTTCTTCTACCATCCTTACAAACCCCATGGATCTTTTAAAGTCTTAATAGGACTTCCAGAAAACCAAACCTAAACCTTTCCATGCTTATACCACCATGAAATTGGCTGCCCAATCCATTAAATTCTATACTCAGTCTGCTTGTTCACCACGGATCTCTAGTACTAGTACCCAGCACAAAGTAGGGCCCTGATACATATATTAATGACTGAATGAAGCCTTAGGCTCCATGAGTGGGAGATATCTAGGTTTGTGTCTATGCGGGACGCACCTCAGAGGTATTGATTTGTTCTACAGGAGCAGTAGAGTAGAGGCTTAAACAGCTTCTCCCTTGGATGGTGTTCCAGGCTGCAAGGGGTCACAGTCAGGGTGCAGCCTTCTGACCAAGACACTGCGGTGATCCATGAGCAGATGGCCAAGTTCCCTGTGGACTGTGCTCCGCTCTGCTCTGTCTGGGATCTCCCTGAATCTGTCAGTGCCTACTTCCTCACCTCGTTCCCACCCCTTCTTCCTACCTGCCCTCTAGGCTTTCTGTGCATGCATGTGACCCCTACCACTACTAACAGTTTTAAGGACTGTGTCAGATGAATGCCCTCTCCCGGGAAGCTGGAAATGTCGGCCACCGGGTGGTTAGCGTCCTCCACTCCTTGGAAGATGGTGTCGTATGAACCTTAGGCATTTCTATGTGGGCTGCTTTCTAGTGACACAGCCTAAAAGGTGTTTCTTGAGGGCAGAAATCAATCAATTCCAAATGCGCTAAGTTCTTTCCAGCCACGACTTGGGCAGGAAGAATAAAACATTAGATTCAGTTACCAAAACACAGGGCTGTCCCGATCATCCTTGACTGTGTAGTACTCCTTGTCAGTTTCAATTGCTTTGGTCAAACCAAAGTCTCCAATTTTCACTTGGTGCTCACTCTCAACGAGGACATTTCTTGCTGCCAAGTCCCGGTGAACGTACTGCCGAGAACCCAAATAGTCCATCCCCTGAGGGAGAGAGGTGAAGGGAGAGTGCATTTGCTAAAGGTTAGTTCAGGTTCTGTTTTGTATCCATCACTGCTTCATGAAAAAGCACCAATGTCATTTCATTTACCTATCACTCGTTTTTTTGGTTTGTTTTTAATGCAAGAATAGTTTAGACTAACCCAATTCAAAGAAATACACATTAAGTCAGCCATATTAACAAATCAGTTTTCTTAGTACTGGCTAATTTTCATCCAAATCATGCAGAGCAAAATGGTACAGGTACAATTACTGGAAAGCTTCCCACTTGCAGTCTAATTACAACCCAATTACCCAGGACAGCGTGCCTGATTTTTTGATCTTTGACGTGGTTTTTTTTCTTTTACCTTACAAATCTGAACGGCGTATTTTAATTGCTGTTTGAGGTTAATTTTGTTCTTATTCTTTGGAAGATATTCCTTAAGGCTTCCTGAAGGCAGAAATTCCATGATGAGCTTAATACCATTTCCTCCTGTTTAGAAAAAAACACCCATCAGGACAAGGTCGCCAGATGAAGGAACTGTGGGAGAGTAGAGGGTGCAGGATCTGGAGATGCAGGCCCTGAGCTGATTTCAGTGTCACCCCTGAATCACTACTGAACCTCTTAAGCTCCAGAACCTCGGGACCCTCAAAGAACGGAGATAGTTACACTCATGTACATAACAAAGCCCAGTCATCAGCACCCACTGAGCTAACAGTGCTCTGAAAACCACTGTGGATGACTGGTTTTTAAAAATTACGAGCCACATCATTTCATCACCAATTTTGGAATACAGTTATGTATTGTACTGGCTTGTAAAAAAAGATACACTTAGTAGTAAATACTGCTTGCCACCCTGATATAGACAACTAGAAAATGAAAGATCCTGGCTAGGGCTGGATCAGAATAGGAAAAGCAGACAATGGGTGTCACTTTCATAGGGCCTAAGTGTGAATATCGGATGAGTGAAGCCCAGTCTCCAGTACTGGAGAGAGAACGCTGGGATCATCCCTGGCGGCAGGGGAAGCTGGGTGGCTTCCCTGGCAGCTCTGCGCTGAGGGACGTGACTGTGCGTATGATGGTGAAGCTGCAGAGCTCCCGGGAACCACCAGCGAGCATGTCCAGGTGGCCCAGATACAGCCGAGGGCACTGCCTGCTCACACGGGCCTTTTAACCCCAGACAGTCCCTTCGTTTTCAAACCAACCCCACCGTGCCCAACATACCGTCTTCTGTACAGATGCCTTTGTACTTCACAATGTTCTCATGATAGAGGTTCCTTAGGATTTCAATTTCCTTCTTCAGGTCAGCTATGTGGTTGCCTCCACTCTCGGGCTTCAGGGATTTGACCGCCACCTGCTCCCCGGTATTGTCCCCCTCAGGGTCATACCTGCAGAGCTCAACCTTCCCAAAGTGGCCCTAGAAGGAAAGACCCGTGCGCTTGATGAGAGGAGCCCCACGCGGGGCCAGCAGGGACACTTACACGAGCCTTGCTCCTTGTGCCGCTCCCATGAAGGCCAGGGGCGGGAGGCACAGCCTGACCTCAGGGGCAGCAAGCTCCTACCTGGGCCCTTCCTCTCTTGGTCTCACGTGCCATCCCCTCTGTGACGGGGCTAAGATAAAGAGGTATCAGGGGACTGGTGAACCGACACATCAATCCCAGTTTCCATGAAAATGTAACCCAAAAGGAAATGAAAGTGGTTTCTGGCCCTGCAGGACAACCGTGGTGTTCTCTGAGAGCCATGGGCCCAGGCTGAAGGACGGGCACCACCATGCAGCTGAAAAGAGCACTGCATGAAGCGTGTTTACCAGCCGTGGGATTAGCTCCCAACCAGGCCACTAGGCAGTGATGTGGGCCCAGTCACCCCATCTTCCGAGCTGGCTCCGGAGGGGCTCCATGCCCACAGCAGTGGCAGCCTCTCGGGGATGGTGTGAGGAACGAAGGACCCCGCACCTGTCAAGTGCCAACACACAGCCTTGGCTCACAGGAGGTACTCAGTGCAGGACACAGTCTATGTTCACTTAACCGAACTACAGGAAATCTGGACAAAGACGCAAATCGCAGTAGCTTTTCTGGTCACATGAGCTGTTCGGAAATTCCCATTCGAGATCCAAGGGAAAAGCTGATACTCTATCTGGCCTGTGTAGTAAATAATCCCTCATTTAAGCAGCTTCGCAGGATACAGATACCCAGGAAAGTCTGAGATAGGGATTTTTCTGTTTCTACCCCATCTATACCTCTTCCCCCAGATCTCTCCCTTCCCATTCTCTTCCATCCCTCAGAGAAGAGTCAAGTCTGGAGGGAGCAGACCAACATCCTGTGTGCATATCCAGCCCTCTGGATGTATATGCACACTGTCACCCTGTGTCAAATGGAGAATGTGATTCAACTGGCCCAGAGGAAACGCAGTGAGATGCTTTCTCTCATAAACCTTGGCCCGAAATGACAGAGAATGGAGAGCGGCTTTGGACGCAGAGAGAGGTGACATGGTCAGCAGGGAACTCCAGCCTAACTTGCCTCCCCCAAGTCACGGATCCTCTTCAAGAACCGCTTTTCAAAATGTGTGGGATCTACTTCGATTGCCGGCTTTCTTTCGGAAACAATGTCTGGATCTAAGAGGGAGAAAAGAAACCACGTTAAAAAGGAATGACTGCCATTCACGGGCTCCTCGTTATTCACCCGCTCCCCTGGGCCACTGGCTGTTCTCAGCTGCAGAGCAAGACTGTCTTACTCTGCTCTTCCAGTTTATTGATGTCTCTCATGATGGCTCGGAAGAAGGGTCTCTGGTTGGGGTCATAGTTCATGCAGCGGGTCATAAGGTCAGCCAGCTCCTTACAAGATGGTGTCACTGGCCGGCACCGGCTTTCGTAGAATCTCTCTTTCTGTAAAGAAGAAAACCACATGGAAGAAACCAAAGGAACCAGTCACTAACCTTTTAGCCTCAGTTACCATCCCTAATTTAATTCCCAACAGCTGTGCTTCATAAACATGTGTGTTACTGTTGCCTCATTGTGGTTTAGGTAAATCTTAGTCCCCACACAAAAACCCACATTCAAGGAAGATGGGCAGTATACCCCAGTCCCAAACAAGCTGCATTCCAGGGAAGTCACGCAGCCTTCCTGGAATACAACTTGGCAATATGTGTAACAACCTTCAGATTCTTCAAATCCTCTGACTCATTAATTCCAACTATTGAATGACTCAAAAATAAATCAGACATAAAGATTTATGTTCAAAGATATTCCCTGCAGAATTAGATAGAACATTACAAATTTAAAAACAACCTAAATGCCAAATATAAAATTAGTTAAGTAAATTTAAGCTTAATGAGACAACTCCTACATTAAATTTGTAAAATTGTAAGACATATTTAACTGCCTAAGAAAGAACTCGCGATATTAAATACAGCCTATATATCTACATCTGGGATAAAGAAACTCAACAAATATCTGTGTTAATTTTGCTGACTAATGGGCACTTAAAATCTGAGCTAAATAGGATTATAATGTTCCACCAGCACATATTTGCCTGGCACTCTACATGCATTATTAATCTTCACAACAGCCCCGCAATGTGTTATTTATCCCCATTTTACAGATGATGAACTGAGGCTCAGGGAAGTTTAGTGACACTTTCGAGGTCACACAGCCAGTAAGCCTGTGGAGGAGATTCAAACAGACATCCACCTCTTCCCACAACATGAGGTTTCCTGACAGCTCCCGAGACATCCCTGAGTGCTCAAGGAGTCCTCACTCGGCTCGCTCACCTCAATCAGGGTCTTGTCTTTCAGAGGGATCTCGCCATTGTAGCAGATCTCCCAGAGTGTGGTTCCAAAGCTCCATTTGTCAGCAGCCACACTCAGGTTCTTGGAGTCTTCAACACACTCGGGAGCAATCCATGGGATTCGTTCTATGCACTCTAGAAAAAGACGGGAGATGTTTCCAGATCAGTTTCTGGAATCACCTGGGGCGTAAATCACTGTCATTGCAGCAGGAACTGTGAACTAACGAAGAAACTATTTTAAGCAATGTTTCCAAACACGGACCATGGCTGCCTTGGTCCCGTGGGGAGCTTGTGAAAGGTGCCGCCTTCCAGGCCCTTCACCCCTGGCACTTCAGATGCATCAGTCTTTGTCGGGCCAGCAGATGTGTCTGTTTACCACATGCCCCCCAGGAGGTCATGCAGGGCCAGTCTTCTGAAGCTCTGGCCTCAGAAAGAGCAAAGCACCCCAGGGGTGGAGGCCAACACCCTGGGGAAGGAGAACCAACGCTTAAGAAAGGAAAGACAGGAAGAGAGGCCCACCCATACAGAGTAGGCCTGGGCTAATCTCATGCACTCCGCACAATCCCCCTGCAATGCCGTGCTTGCTTTATGTGGGAAAGGACAAGGGAAGAAGACTGAGGTGAAGCTGTCCTACATCGCTTGCCCCTGGCTACTTCTGCAGCCCTGTTTGGGCTTCCTGCCAAGACCAGTGACTGGAACAGACACCCCTGCTGTATCCAAGGAAATGCCCCTTAACAAGAGCTTGCGGCCTCCCGGCCCCTGCGGGAGAGAGAGGCAGGAGGGCCACTCCTGAACGGGGCATTCCCAGTCAAGCCCACCTCACTGACCTACAAGGCCTGCATGAAACCCCAGCGCCTCCCTGAGCCATGCTCTGTCCCCAGCTAAATGATGTCCCTTTCTCTCTGAATGCGCACAGCGCTTTACTGGCCTCTCTTGTGGGGTACCCAGGCTTCTCTACTTGCTCTGAGCTCTCCTGGGTCTGTGTCTCAGATGCTTGCTGAGGACAGGACCCTTGAGAGATTCCGGGCTGAATCTGCACAGACTGTGGGAAGTTGGGCGGGTGAGAAGCACGACACAGGCACTAAAGGATGCTTCCCATTCCCCTTTTAAGGAATGGATATTTTAGGTCTTATTTGTAAGGCCTGTTTTCATCCTGGTTCCCTTCCAAACGTAGCCCATGCTTTGAATTACAGAGCAAAACTCCCAAGTGCCAGGCACTGTGCCTGGTGCTGGAAACTGCCGGCCAGCAGAGGCCAGGGCCCCAGGCCCAGGGGCATACTGCTATCCCAGATATGGCCTACTGGCCCAACTCATGCAGCGCTGGTTTCAGTGTCTCAGCTCCCAGGCCTGTCCCTTCCTGTAGAGCCCCTGAGGTCACGATAGCCTCATTCAAAGCACACAGGACCACAGCAATCACTCGGGTGCCTCCCCAAACTGCTCACCAACTACAGTTGAAGACCAAGGAGACCCAGCTCCTCCTGACACCCCTCTGACCATCCCCAGCCCCAGCAGCCTCCCTCTGTGCTACCCCAGCACTGAGAACAAAGATGTGCCTTGGGTGAGCTGTGTTTTTCCGACCACTCAGCTCCCTGAGGGCAGGGACTGGCCCTCCCTCAGCTCCCCATCTCCCCCGGCCCCCAGGTCACAGGAGCACCAAGGCTGTCTGCCAAAGTGTCCTTTTTAAAAGGAAGCACACCTGAACCCTAGCCCCCTTCTCCCCGCTGGCCTGACCCTAATTAGGGCGGGGGCAGGGAGGGTGGAAGGGTGAGGGTGGGGATGGGAACTGGGGTGGGAGGATGAGGGAGACACACCCTGCCTGGACAGCACTGTGATGGGGATGCCAGGGTCACTGAGCTTGATGAACGGGCCGCACTCGCTGTCAATACCCTCGCGGGCCAGGAGAAGGTTTTTTGTGCACACGTTTCCATGGACCAGGTCTTTATCCTCCTGCAGAGTGAAAAGGGTGAAATCAGTCAAGCTGCCTGTGGGGCTGCCTGTCTTCCCTCCTTCCCTCACTCCCTGTTTCCAAGCCTGGCCCCTCAAGTCATCTCTCCATATTCCCCAGCGACAGCAATGCCCAGGCAACCCAGCTCTCCCCCAGTTATCTGTGTCACTCAGGCACATCAAATCGTGGCCTTCTGCCCCCCAGTTCCCTCACCAGTGAAACGGGGATAATGGTGGAGCAGGCCTCCTAGGGCTTGTGAGAATGACACTCATGAGAACCTGTGTAATGCACCAACAGCTGAGTCATGGGAAGCGCTACTGATGCAAGCAATTTCACTCATTCATTCGACAAGTATCGCGCTATTTTCACTCCAAGCTTTGCTGCATTCCAGAAGTCAGTCCTCTGATGTGATAAAACCTCCCTCGAAACAGGATTCATACCCAAGCACACGAATGGCCCCAAATGACCGTTTTCAGGAAGCAACAGGCACACCTGTGTTTAACCACAGAGCCCGGGCCCCTGCAGCCTGCCTGGCTAGACTCCTTCCTGCCACCCCCTACAGGGCATTCTGGTTCCTGGTAGAGACCACCACGGACATCAGAACACACTTACCAAGTAACTCAGGGCGCTGGCCAGCTGTTTGGCAACTTTGAATTTCCATGGTGTGGTGAGGACATCGCTTTTCCGGTGCATGAAGAGATCCAGGGGCCCGCCTTCCACAAACTCCTCCACCATGATATCTACAAGCACAAAAGTAGCCACATCTGGAACCTTCTGTACATCTGAGACAGTATCTTCCCTCATCCTCTGAGGAGAACCCACTTTAGTGGCTGGTACTCAGCTTGGGAGGATGGCAACATCCTTGTGAGGTGCAAACATCAGAGTGCCTCCACCCCTGCCCAGAGCGCCTTCCATTCTGACTCTCAGCTTGCCTACCCCACCCTCCCGGGTCCAGACCAGTGTGCGGCCAGAGCTGGCAACAAGTAACATTCAAGAAATGAGTGAAAAATAAACGGCACTTCATTCCACGCCCACTATTAAGCACGAGACCTGCTCGCTACCTCAAGTTCCTCGACTGCAAGAAGAGGCAAAAACCCCAAGCAATGTGAAGGTGGCTTCGGCCCCAAATCGTCATCACAGCACCCACGTTCCCCAGCCAGGCCAACCTCCCCTTCCAAAGCGAATACACTTACTCTCCACGTCTCGGACACAGACGCCATAGAGGTACACGATGTGTTTGTGGGAGACCTGCCTCATCATGCTGGCTGCTTCAAAGAAGGCCTGTGGGAGGATAGCACAAGGGAATGTCAAGGGCCAGACGCCACGGCTCTGATGCCAAAGGAGCTCTGCTGAGAGGGAAGTCAATGGGCCCCAGGAACACTCACCACTGTCATCATCCCAGGCCCTGAAACGGTTCCCCTGGCCTTGACTGCCCAGGGGCATTGCCAAGCCTTTACCTAGGGGCCAATCTGGCTGGGGTATGGAATCTGTTTAGAAAACCTAACAGGGTACAGAGCCAGGCTGGCAGCAGAGGCTAGGTGACAATTTCCGCATTGGGTACTCATATCCACCACTTTCTCTTCCTTTAAACTTTGGGAAATAACAACATTTGGCACTGTAGTAGAATAAGTGAAAAACCAGATCTCTGTCGAGACTTGGCTTTATCACTCTCTAACAGTGTGTGGGATCTTGGGTAAGTCCTTTTACTCCCGTGGGCTTTAATTTTCTAGACTGCAAAGTGATAGTCCTGGACTACATCAGGGACTTCGAGAAGATTCAGCTAGAGTCCTGGGGCTCCACAGAACCACCACAAGGACCTCTATGGGAGGAGAGTGAGAGGGGCAGGGAGGGGACAGGCTGCTCAATGCACTTCATCTTCAATCTTCCCTCACTTACTTTACATACCTGCTTCATCTAAGATTGTATTTGAAGAAAGGAATTCGACTGAATGACAAGTCTGAAAAACACCAGACCAAAACAAAGGCAAAGGTTCTTCCTAGCTCATTGTGCTCCACTGGCTCCAGAAGTGGGGGAAGGGAGGAGATGGGGTTATGAGGAAGACACTTGCCAGAGAAATGTCCCTGTGGCTGGGGTCTAAGACTTTGAGGATCACTTTTATTCTCTTCTCTTCGGAAGTTCCTTCGTCATCCTTGTAATCCACCAGGGTACCGGAGTAGATGTGCGTCCGTGTGCCTCTCCCAAGGTGCTCGCCCTAAAGGAGGAAGCAGGAGGTTGGGGCTACTTCTCTCTGGGGCTGCAGTGACACCCGAGTCTGGCACTGACGCCTTAATGGGAACACACCAGAAGGGGTGGGGCAAGAACAAAAGAGCCTCCACAGCTCACAGCCTCTCGGGCCTTGTCCTGGTCAGGCCTCCAGAAGAAACATAAAGCTACTTAGCCAAACAGAAATGTGATACTTCCTGGGCACCAGGAGACATTTAATTCCCAAACCATGCCTTGCGTTCTACCTTCAGAAACAACCTGTGGCTAAGACGTAATCCTGGCCAATCATAAAACTTCCAGCAGCACCACCACCAGCCTCCAGCGACAGCGGCCCACCCTTGGCCTCCAAAGAGGACTCAGAGAGGACCCCAGCGGGGCTCTACTAGAGGCTGGGGTACAAAGAGAAGGGCTTGTTAGTGCTGGCTCGACTGCTCGCTGGACATCTAACTCAGAGATGCTCTTTCTGTAAACAGAATAACCATGGCACCCACCTCCCAGGGCTGTTCTAGAACCAAGTGAAGAGGAAGGAATAAAGGCTCCTCAGTCCAGACCCCGGCACATCGTGGGTAGAAATCATCTGCTGGGCTGATGTGTTCTGTCTGATTGCCCTCTAGACCAGGTACTCGTTCATCTTCCAACCATCTACCCGGAGTGTGTGTATATACGTGCATGCATGCTAAGCTTTAAAATCTGTGACGCATTTACATGTGGATTTGCTGGAGCAATCCCAAAGCGGGGAAGGGGTGTGAAAACAGAGGCAGAGACTGGAAGGTGGGCCCTCAGTTTCCTCACATACGAAAGGGGATAACACCACCAAATAAGTGGTATGAGCACTAAATGAAATTATCACACATAAATCATCTGTCTCTAAGGACCCTTCCAGTTCAAGTTTTAATAATTCTGATTTAAACATTCTTAATATTGGGAAATCAAGATGTGATTCATAAAAGTCAGGCATTCTCAAGCTACTGACGTTAATCTCACAAAATCTTTAAGTTGAGATGCTATTATTCTATTATCCCAAGACCTTCTCTGTAAATGCAAAAAATGGATTCCCTTGGAATCGGCCCTGCCCCCTAACAAGAACATATACAATTGTTAATTGGGTATATTAATGTGCACAAATGCCACCATTTGTCATCTGGCATAGCAGAGTGGCGATGCATCTGCCCTGTCTCCCATATCCTGGCAAGGTCCTGTGACTATTCATTAAAGCCGCATCTGTCACAAAGCAATTCATCAAAGTTAGGGAAGTTGTGTTCCCAGAACATCCCGTAAAAGCCATATGCTTTCAGAATAATTACTCTTCCCCAAAAGGGCTGCTTATTCCAGTGGCCAAGTCACGGCAGCAGGATTCCGCAGCAACCCACAGAAGCCCCGCATGTTGCCACCGGCCTCCTTCCAGGCCACTCCCTCTGCCTTCGCCGGGCATGGGGTGTGCGCCCTCTGCAACTCTGCCAGAGCCACATCCCGCTGCAGCTCCCTACCTAGCACTTACGTCTCCGTAATGTGCTTATCTACTTAAGAGACGAGAGCTGGCTCCACCAGCTGTGGGCCTGCCGAGGGTGGCAATCACCGCTGCACATGCAAGGGCTGCTGCTGGGGGCTAGGTGAGCACCGGGGCGGGGGTCCGCAGATGAGTGCCGGTGGGGCGGGGCCTAGGTGAGCGCGGGGGGCATGGAGGATGCCTGGGACCCTCCGAGTGGCTTGAGGGCAAGGAGAGAAGGAAGGGCCCAAGGACGGTGCCAAGTTTGGACAGAAAAAAGGCCAGGGTACCACTGCTCTGGTGATTTTAATCTCTGGCCACAGCTCTGACTCCATCAGAGGGACAGAAAACAATAAACACTGGCCTTCAGTGAAGAATGTCTCCAAAGGAAAGCGAGAGGCGGTTGCAGTGGTGGGCTCCTACTCCCTGAACACCCTACCCAACAATTTTAGGGATTAACTTAAAAAAGTAAACCAGGTACCCAACCCCATGCCTACTACCTCCCACTAGGCTCCCCAACAGATGTGAGCACACAATTCGCTCTGCAACACCTTCCAAGTGTTGCAATCTCTCCCAGGCAGTCAACGGTGCCTTCCCTCCAAGGCTGCTGGCATGCTGTCTCCTCGCCTCCCTGGTGTGTGGCTGTGTACAAGGACTGGGGTGGGGGCATGGAACAGAAGTGGGATTTGCCCCGGGCCTCACACCCCTAGCCAAGGCCCAAGGGCAGCTACAAGGGAAGCTGGGCCTGCCTACGGCTGCAGACTCTGGGCAAAAGGCCTCCCAAGCTGGAACACTGGTCCAAGGGATCTCTTTCTCAAGACAGTTCTCCTGCAGGCCAACATTGTACATCTCATGCTCCCTTACTGTATTCTGTACCCCATAGCTTTGCTCCCTCTGGAAGCATCATCAGGAAGCCTAGGAACTGAACTTTAGTAGTGCTTTGTCACACAGCATGTGGTGGGTTAATGCGGGTCATCAGCTCAGACTCCCCCATGGACACCCGATTTGTGCGGCCCTGTCAGCATTCCCACCAAGTTCTCCAACTCCTTCTATCCGAAGAAGACCCATAACAGAAGGTCCTATAACCCTAGATAACCCCACAAAGCTTGACAAATCCATTTCCCTTCAAAGAGAAAGTATCTCTGGGGAACATTGGCAAGGCTGGATACAATGGCAGGGCAGTGGCTGAACAGCTTTAACTATGAAAGGAAAGCTCCTTATTTTTTTTCTGATAGGATTTCCCCAAACCCAGACTTCACTCCCCCCAAATCCTCAGTCTACTCGCTGTGGAGAGGCAGGACCACGGTGGGCTCAGGAACCTTAGCAAAGACTCACTTGCACAATATCTTTCTTGAGGATCCGGTCAAAACTCAGCTGGCTCATGGGGTAGACAGGCTGCCACTCCTGGGCTTTCTTAGTAGCCACCAGAAGATTGGAGATCTCTGTGGAAGAGAATGAAGAAGTCTGAGCAGGGTAGTGAAGGTTCAAGATCCCAGTAAGGCAATGCTTGCCAAATCACGGGGCTTGCTGAACACATATTTGTACATGTGCTGGTTCAGTCATTCAGTAAGTGTTTATTAAGTACTTGATTTACGCCCTCCAGGAGCTTGCAGGCTAATAACAGAGCCTAAACTAATCAAATAATCAACCCATCAAAAGGAAAGCTCCAATCTGTGCAGCTACTCTCCAAGCCAGGCCCAGGTGTTCGAGGGTTGACACAGCAGGATCTGTTCTGGTAGCAGAAGTTAGGGAAGGTCTGCCTAGGGAAATGAAATTTTAAAATCTGAGAAGAGGAAGTCCCCACCGGCAGGGACGGTGTCTATCTTATTTCCTGCTCTACCTCCACAGCCTGGTATGTAGTAGGTACTCAGGAAGTATCTGTTCACCGTGTGAATGAATAATCAGGATGTGAGCTGAAGGACGAGAGCTGAGCAGAGAGGAAGAAGCAGTCCCTTGGGTGTAGGGGGTGACCCAGAGAGAAGGTCGTGCCTGAACCTCTCTGGGCTCCCAGCAGTGCCTGACTCCAAGGAGGCGCTAACTCAATGTATAGGTTATGAGCAGACCAGCCCCCAGATTCTACGGATTCAAACGGCAAACCGAACACTTTACAAAATCTGCCGGGCCACGATGAGCACAAGTGGCTCATGGAATTTACAATCCACAGAAGGTGCCTTCCCACCATGGAGCTACTTCAAGCTATGTCACTGGAGGGGGGGAGGGGAGGGAGTGCCCCTTCCAGATTTGGACTGCAGTGAGAGGATTCTGGAACCCCAGGAGAACCCCCTCTAGCTGCTGAGGACCAGGTGCCTGCAGTAGGCCGAGTAATTTGGACGTGGTCTCTCAAATCCTCACTTCCCTGCAGGGCAGGGCTTATTTTCCTTTTTGTTGTTTTTTTTCAGCTCACATTTTCTGATTGCTTTCTCTTTGCCAGCCACTGCCCCTAAGAGCTTTCCTCACAGTAATTCCTTTGTCCTTATGACAATTCTATGAGGTACACAGTATTTTTATCCTTTTTATTCTATAGGTCAGAAAACAGAGATTCAGGGTGACTATCCCAAGGTCAGGCAGCTAGTAAGCCCTGGACGCTCACACTTCAGTCATGGATGGCTCCAGCCTCGTACCTTCTTATAGCAAACCTGGCCCTAGTGGGAGGCACAAATCTGGGAGCCAGACACTGGGTTCAGGCACAGGCTCCCCTTATTACCATATCCTGGGTACCCTTTCTCCAGTCTGTTCTCCTCCATTCTGTTATCCTGACTCCACTCTGTAACCTGGATACAATCAGATTCAAAACAGGCAACTCAGGACTGCCCTGATGGAGAAAAGACCAAGAAAGAGCCACCTGAATGGTGTCCCCAGCAAAGGGTTGGAGGTGTTTTGAAAATGAGAGAGGAGGATGAAAACAGGCGCCATTTATGGGCGATGATTTGCATGGCTGCTTCGGGGAGCATGGCACTGAAGTCAACTGTGTGAGTGGGGGTACCTGTTAAACCCGTTTTCTCACTAGAAAAATGGGAGACACAGTCATGCCCCTCATCAGGTTGCTGTGAGGGATAAACGAGATAACGCATATGAAGGGTTTACTTCAGTGCCTGGTGTACAGGGAGTGCTCCAAAACTGGTAGCCATTGTGGTTAAGACCAGTATTACATCTTGGTCAGCGCCATCATCCTTGTACCAGCTGGCTGGCAACAGTCAGAAGTTCTCAGTGTCAGAGCCAAAGGGTGCAGAAATCAAGCCCCTGGCTCCACTCCACAGATGAGGACATGGGAGGGTCAGTGATGACTGGGCCAGTGAGTCCTGCTGGGTCGCTACCCTCTTCTTGCCACAGTCACCCTGAGACTTGGAGAGGGACAGTGGGGCTGGACAACACAGAGATGTGGACTTGCTTTACTGTCACATCCACTCTGAGTGGCCACCTGCTTTTCCTTTATTCCATGAGGAGTTTCTCAGTTGCATTTTCAAGTGGGAAACCCAGGTCGAAGTGGGGGCCATCAGAGCCTTGCGGTTAGGAGGGCAGAAGCACTGAGGAACCCAAAATGACCTTCTCCTTAATTTTCATGATTTTACCACTTCTCTAATTTGCAGGTGGTGGAGGGAAGACAGAGGGCTTCTGACGGCCCAGAGAAGCAAGCCTCATACACAGGGCTCATTCCTCCTCTCTCCACCGCCAGGCCCTTCCCTCCTCCAGGTCAGGAGAACTGCCCTCGCCCCAGAGCTCTGGGCTGATGGCTGCCCCTGCACCTTCGCAGAGTATAACGGGACGTACAGGAAAGATCACCAGAGCTGGAGTCAGAAGACTTGAGTTCACGTCCCCAGTCATCCTCTACCTACCTAGGCAAATATAACGGGGATTACAACACACTCTGGCTTGTTCTGAAGATTAAATGACTCGGAAGACGGAAGACCCTCACACAGGGCCTGTAAGCCTAGTAGCCATCATCATCATCATCATCACTACTTGTTGCTCCTATTACTGTTAACTACTGCTGCCCCCAGCAGCAAGGCACGAACATCTCTGAGCCTCCATTTCCGCATCTCTGTAATAGCTACAAAGAGCTACTGTCAGATGGAGCAAATGCAAATATGCATGAAAAGTGCTTGGCATTAGTAGGTACCCGCCAATATGGTAGCTACTGCTCTAACTATTCCCCTGACAGACATCAGTGAGCGTGGACTCTGTGCTGGGTGTGGTGCTGCCCATGAGTCACGGGGTGCTAAGACAGATCCAGATCCTGTCTTAAGAGTTCATACTCAAGTGGGAGAGAGGAGAGACAGACACTAAGCACATTCAGGAGTCCAGGAGCCTCATGAGAAGCCATGAGGGAGGGCTTCAATTTGTTCCCGTGCGTCTCCCGCTACCGCTCCTGGCCCCCAGATCTGGACCAGTACGTGGCATGGACACCAGAGACCTCTCCAGCTAATTCCAGTGAAGAAATCATGTCCCGGTCTCCCACCTGCCACCAGTCCTCGCTACCTGTGGCCACCGCTCTCTATGTCCTCAACCTTACCCAGAGACCACAAATCCCAAGGAAAAGTAAAAACTGCTCCTAATATCTGTTAGGAGAGATTATGTGAGTAAATAGGGTCGTTGGGCTTTAAGGTTTTACCGCACTCTGAGGTCTCAGGGCCAAGTGCCAGATGTGTTTTCAGCCTTGTGGAACATCTTCAAGCATGAAAACAAAGGCTGCAGTTACCCCAGAGCTGGCAGGAAACCCTATCTGATCAACAAGAACATAAGTCCTTCCTCTTTCACCGAGTGCAGTGGCAGCCCCTTGCTAGGAGGCCAAAAAGCGATTCAAACATCAAGAACCCAGGCCCCTTTTTGTCCTGGTGTTGCTTCCTCTGCCCATCCCTGACATAAAGGCTCACAAATTCCCGTAAAAGAACCAGAGCCGCCTCAGATGAAGACACTCCTCAGAGCATCTTCCACCATACTTACCAGGGCCTCAGAACGACTGTGCTGCCTACCCTTTCTCTGAGGCCTGACCTCTTCTCAGGGAAGGATCTGACCCATGCAGGCAGCACCGTGCAGTAGGGGAATGTCAAAATGTCATTTGGGGTAGAGTGGCACTCAAACCCCTTTGACCTTGACCCTCAGTGATACCCACTTCACTTCCCCAGGACTCAATCTTCTCATCTGTAAGATGCGGCATTTGACCAGGTGATGCCTAACTGTCCTTCCAGTTCCCACATTCTAAGAGGTGATGAATCCACCTCCAGGACATCAGTGACACTATCCACGGGGCTTCAAGAACCAAAGCCAGGTTCCTCACCCCTCCCATCCATTTTACAACCTGACCCTCCCATGGTTTGGCACTGCAGCTCCCTGGCATGGCACCCAAGGCCTCCTCTGACCCAAATCTTCCTCTCCCAACCTCACCTGCCCCTTCTTTCTAACTTCACCAGCTTCATCAGACACATTAGCCCTTCAGCCCCTGCTTCTCTGCAGCCCCTGCTGTGGCCTGCCATGTTGCCCCTGCACACACTCATCAGGAAACGCCCTCAACTAACAGGCAAGCCCCCCCGCCCCGCCCCACTATCCAAGATCCGCCTCCCTCCTCCGGGCAGTCTTCCATGCCACGGCCCAGGGACGTTTGACCATCCCCGTCTCTGTGAGCCTGAGGTGTGACATATGGGTGCTGATGAAACAGCATCACACATGCAGTGGCCTCATTTCCCTAGGACATTTTCTGCATGAGACTGGAAACCTTGGAGACCAGGGACTGGGTGCCAGGCATTTCTGATGCTCTGCATTCACCATAGTTCTTGGCCCACAGAAGATGTGCCAGGGAACATTTCCCAGATAATAAACCACCCACGGGGGAACTCTTAAGACATTTTATCTTAAAGAAGAAAGTAATAAGCTTCTGTTTACTAATCCTAAACGTGGCTCTTCCTGAAGCCTGAGCGGCTAAGGAAAGGTGTATGTTTTATTCTATAGAAAACGCTGACACTTGAGGACCGGGATTGGAGGTGGGGACAGACTTGTAACTAGACGAAATGAAAGCCACCTGGAAACTGTGGGGAGGGGCCACTTTCTTCCGAACAACCAGGCTCTTTTGGTTACCAGGTGTCTTGGAGCATCGCCACGGGGCACAGGGGGACCCTGAGGGGACAGGGCCTGGCTCTGGCCCAGGGAAACCGACCTCGGGGCTTGGGCTGGCAGCAGCGCTTCAGCACAAAGCTGATGTTGTCCGTGCGCAGGATCTGCTTCTTGAGGTGGCTCATCAGGTCCCCCAGGCTGGGGAAGCTGCGGTCTGAGCCATGCAGGCTATAGCGGCCCTTCTGCACCTCGATCTGAAAGTTCTTGAACTGTTTCTGGCCACCCAGCACCTGCCATTCAGGAAAATGACCAGAAACCAATTGTTTTAAACGGGTCAAGCAAATGTACCATGGGTACATAATTTGTTAACAATATGAGAAGCTGGATAAAAGATATCTAGAACTCTGTATGATCTCTGAACCATTTGTGTAATCTGTAATTATTCAAAAGTAAAAATGTATTATAAACAAGTAAACAAACAAAGAAATAAATAAATCCAGAAGAAGACACTGATAAAAGGGAGTTAACATTACGGAGTTAACGTTAAGCATAACTGAACAGTGACTTCTACAACAGCATCACCTCGTTTTAAATGTGTGAGATGAAGTTCACTGAAAAACCAACCTCACAGGACTGCTATGATTACATGACATAGTAAAAAACTTAGTAAGCACTTCATAAAGATTTGCAAATATTATTATGCATGAAATAATAATTACTATAATAGTATTTATCCAGGAAGCCTCTCAAACTGAGCCCCTCTGGGCCGTGCATCCATTTGAGGAGAACCACCCTGGGAGGTGATGGTCGGCAGTCTGATCTATTTTCAGGGTTCTATGGCACCACAGAGAAGAAGTAGAAGCAGAGGTTTTCCTTCACGGGCACTTTTTGTACAGAGACAAATCTTTTAGTGATTAAGGATGAGGATCAGAAAGATCTACTTATGGTGTAGACCAGGACAAGATATTTGAGATCTCGATGCCTTGGTTTATTCATCTGTACACTGGGGATAATACCACCTATCTCACAAGGTCAGCCTAAGGTTTAAATGAGGACATGCAGGTAAAGTGTTCAGCATAGCGTCTGGTGAACTACAATGAACAGCAGGAGTAATCATAGCTACGATCCTGTTTCCCCAGGTAATCTGACCCCAGGTGGACCATGCTACTGAGTCACTGACATTCCTGGTACAGCATAAGCCCATTCCACCTCAGAAGGCAGTTGGGCTCTCTCGTGCGCCCATCCATGTTCAAAACATTAAACTTCCTTCAAGACTGATGAAAGCAGAAGATAGGCATGCTGCCCAGGAACAAACCTGACATGACCTGCTGCGTCCATACCAGCCGTGAGGCCTTGCTGTGCAGGAACAGCCCCAGGCAGGCAGTGGCACCTAGACACTTTGCCCAGGACACTTGGCAGCGCGGGGTTCCTTCTGCCATTTCCTCTTCCCACTCCTGACGGAGTCTAGTCCCCAGGGGCTCCCCAGTACTTTTCCTTCTACCGTCTGAGGTTTATGGCAAGCTCATGTGCAGACTTCCACCTTGAAGCTCCCCCACCTCCCCCTGCCACCCCAGTTCTCCCAGTTCACACTAACCCAGTCAACACTAGTGTATTTATCCGGACTAATTCCGTAAAACCCATTGTCTTTTAAAATATTCCATTTCCTGTATTTAAAAAAATCACAAATGAATGACAAAGGCAGTATTGCAGTCTAGTGAGGTAAGGTCAACAATTCTGGCTTCTATCTTTGTTTTCAGGTGTCTCTCACACCATTCCTGGTGTCCAGCTACACTAGAGTCACTAAATAGAGCCATCTCCACCTGTCAAACACGGAACAGCAAGTCGTCTGTTAAAATGTCTGAAGCTCCCATCTGGGGAAATCTGTGGTAGGCCAGGTTGCCGAGCCGGCCATCTTGGCACTGGTATGTCCCAGTGAGTGCCACAGATCAGACACGGCTCTGGGTCTGTGATTTTGTCCCTGAGTGTAAAATCAACCACTCCCAACAGGTGCATTAAACTTGACAAATGTTTGGTGTGAACTGGTTTTCTGGCCACACTCTACTTTCCAGAGTGACCATGGACCCCTGCCATGGGTCCCTTGAGGGAAGAAAGGGCCATGAGGGGAAACGTTCGGGGTCTGGCTGCTAGGGAAGTCTCCTTTTGAAGAGCAGGGTTGTCCTGGTCAGAACTGCCAGGGATTTTCTCAGAAACGCAGGCTTTTCTACCCCCATGTCCCAGGGTGGTCCTCTCTGGAGCAGCTCCTGGGCTGGCTGCACCGAACACCCTGTGGCGATATGACTTGGCCTGAATGACTAAGATTTTTCCTGACTGACCTCAGATTTTTCAAAGCAGGTGACAGTCATGAGGATATTGTCAAAGTCGGTACAGCTCCACCTCAGCACATACATCCCCTCCTCGCTTCCTTCTTGCCGCAACTTATTGATGGCATATTCTGTGCTAGAGGAAGAGAAAGGGAAAGGGAGAAAGAACTCATACCAATGAGAACACTCTAAAGCCCACGGGATATCCACGTCTCTGAGCTGGCTCAAGTCCTACAGCCCCATCGCATTACATGTCCTGGGTCCTGACATCTGAGAGGACACGTGGGGCAAGCCGAGATGCCAAGGAGCCTCAAGACACATCAAGTCTCCAAGGTCTAGAAGAGGACTCGCCTGCTGCCCAAGGCACTGAGCCCTGCTTGTCCCTGACTTCCCCACATGTGTGGTCTCCAGCTCGCGGCAGGAGATGTCCCCGCAGAGGTGATGCAGAGCTGCCCATCACAGAGTGCCCGCCATAGAGTGGGGTCCCTCCCCACCATCCCTAGGCAGTCCAACTAGAACATGAGCCTCAGGAGAGCACAAATTTGGGGTTATTCTGTTCACTGCTGTATCCCCAATAACCAGAGCACACTTGGCTCATAGTAGCTACTCAGTAAATAAGTAACTGAATAATTAACACCGAATAAAAAAAGAAAAAAAGAGTTAGAAAGATATTAATAGGGAATATAATATGCCCATCTTACATTCCTTTGTACCCCGAGGATCAATCAGTACTGCACACACAGGGCAGTGAACAGTCACTAAATAAATCTACAGGTGAAGTCCCCACATATCATGAGTGGTGCTCACGAAGTTGGCAAAAGAGGACCAACATGGTCAACGTGTGTAAGAAAGGCAGACACCAACCGCTCCATGATCTGGAACAACTTCATGCCTTTGCACATGATGATCCTTCACCTGGGAGGCCCCTTTCCCTCTTTAAGACCTGTCAACCTGCATTGATTCTTCAAAGTTTAATCTGATCTGAATGCTGCCTCCCCAGAGGAGGCAGTGAGTTTCAAACTCCCACAGAACACAAAACGTTCACCGATTCAGCAAATACTTATGGAGTGCCTCTGGTATGTGCCAGGCCCTGCCACGGGTGCTGAGGAAAAGCAGTGAGCAAAGCACACAGTGCCCTCTGCCTCTATGCAGCTCATACTCTGGGCAGCAAGGCCACACAGACAAGAAACAAAGGGACACGGAAATAAACAAAGTGAGTCAGGAGGTAATAAAAGCCACTGAAGAAAACTAAAGCAGAGTGAAGGAGCCAGGAAGTGTGGGGTGTGGGGGAGGAAGAGGTGTTGTTACTTCATAGAAGGTGGGTCAGGGAAGACTTCACCGATAAGGTGCTATCTGAGTGACATCTGAAGGAAGTGGTGGCTGTATACATTCCAGAGGAAGAGCGTTCTAGGCCAAGGGAAGAGCAAGGGCCAGGGCCCTGAAGCCTAACTGTGGCTGGGATATTTGAGGGAGATGCTTTATTATAATGCTCGGCAGCCTGCTCTGCATTTGTTTGTGTGTCTATCTCCCCATGAGTCTGTGAGCCTCTGGAAGCCGGGGATCACTCACTAATGAACTCGCTGTCCACCAGTAACTGGCAGAGGGAAGACGGTGGGAACCTATCATGAGGAAGGCAGCTGAAGAGATGCTTCCCCAGACATATTTCGGTTTGGGAAGAGAGACTCAGAAGAAATACAGCAGCTGTTTTCATCTGAAGAACAGTCCTATGTAAAAGGAAGTACACTGAATCCCCGTTGCTTCAAATGACAGAAGTCAAATGAGTAGGAAGAAGTTAAAGAGAGGCGAACTTCAATTCCCTAGCAGAAAGGTACGTTTGTCTGTAACTGTCAGAGCTATAATCTACTGGCTGCCTCCTGCAGTACTGAGTACCCCATCACCAGAGGTATCTGAGTAAGGGCTTCTAGGTCTGAGATGCAGGTGGGACAAGATGTCCACCAAAGCCCCTTCCGGCTCTAAGGCTTGGTCACCCCACTGTTCCCACCATTTATCTGGCGCTTTAGGACAAGCTGACTCAGGATGCCATTGCTTACTACAGTGAAACTGGGACCCGTGTCCTATCTGTATGTCTGGCCCAGCAAGGGGTTAGGAAGTGTCGCATCTCTTGGTCAGCGTGGAGAAGTGAGGGGGTTTAACTATGAGGAAACCCGGGGCGCCTGGCTGGCTCAGTCGTTCAGTGTCTGCCTTCGGCTCGGGTCATGATCCCAGGGTCCTGGGATCAAGCCCCGCATCGGGCTCCCTGCCCAGCGGGAAGCCTGCTTCTCCCTCTCCCACTCCCCCTGCTTGTGTTCCCTCTCTAGCTGTCTCTCTCTCTGTCAAATA